AAGAATATTGGATTCAAGAACCATTAGCTGCTATTTTGTTGGGTACTCTGAATGATCAAGGGGTTACAAATTCTATGATCCGTTGACTAAATCCTTTTTCGAGAAGGGGAATGCAAAATTTTTTTGAGGATGTAGAGTTTAGAGGGGAAGATAAGGTTAGAGACATTGTGTTTGAAGAGGAATTCATTTCTATTCCTACCATTGCTGACATTACTCAAGAAGCAAATTCGGATAATAAAAACAATATCGAAGACCTTCCTGAAGAACAAACTCAACAACCTCAAGAACAAGTGCCACTAAGGAGATCTACTAGAGAAAGGAGGATGGCGATTCCAAATGATTATATCGTCTTTCTCCAAGAACATGCGGATTGCATTGGTTTAATGAAGGATGAATATATCGTCTTTCTCCAAGAACATGAATTTGACATTGGGTCTATAGAAGATGATCCTATCAACTTCCAACAAGTCAACCAAAGTGGTAATTCTCAAAAGTGGATAGATGCCATGAATGACGAGATAAAATCCAGAAAGTACAATGACGTTTGGGATCTTGTCACATTACCTGAAGGAAAGAAGCCCATTGGTTGCAAATGGATATTTAAAACCAAAAGGGATTCAATGGCAATGTTGACAGATATAAGGCTCGTCTTGTTGCCAAGGGTTTTACTCAGAAAGAAGGCATTGATTATAAAGAGACTTTCTCTTCTGTTTCATCGAAAGACTCTGTCAGGACAATAATGACACTTGTAGCTCATTTTGGTTTGGAGTTGCATTAGATGGATGTAAAGACTGCATTTTTCAATGGTGACATTGACTAAACGATATATATATTGCAACCAGAAAACTTTATGACTGGTGAACTAAAGAAAATAGTTTGCAAACTAAAGAAATCCATCTATGGCCTCAAGCAAGCTTCCCGTCAGTGGTCACAAGTTTCATCAAGTTGTTATCTCGTTTGGATTTGAGGTAAATGCAGTTGACGACTGTGTATATCATAAGTTCAGTGGGAGTAAATACATCTTTCTGGTATTGTATGTCAATGATATACTGTTGGCAAGCAGCGATATAAGCTTACCGCACGAAACCAAGAGATTTATAACAAAGAATTTTGAAATGAAAGATCTTGGGGATGCCTCTTTTGTATTAGGGATACAGATACATCGAGATCGCTCTCGAGTTATTCTTGAATTATCGCAAAAGAGCTATATCAATAGAGTACTTGGCAGATTCGGCATAAAGATTGTGTACCAGGAGATACACCCATTGCTAAAGGAGACAAGTTTATTCTCAGTCAATGTCCCAAGAATGAATTTGAAGTGAAAGAAATGCAGAAGATCCCTTATGCATCGGCTATAGGGAGTCTTATGTATGCTCAAGTATATACGCGTTCAGATATAAAGTACATTGTGGGATTGTTAGGCAGATATTTGGGTAACCCTGGGATGGATCATTGGAAAGCAGCCAAAAGGGTTATGCGATATTTGCAAAGGACAAGAGATTACATGCTCACATATCGGAGGTCAGATAATTTGGAGATCATTGGATATTCTAATTTCGATTTTGTTGGATGCCAAGACAGTAAGAGATCTACGCCAGGCTATGTTTATCTGCTAGTAGAGGGGCTATATCTTGGAAGAGTGTTAAGCAGACACTCATAGCTCCATCTACTATGGTGGCTGAGTTCGTAGCTTTTTATGAGGCATCTAATCATGGGATACGGTTGTGGAACTTTGTCACTAGGCTGTGTGTGTGGATGGTATTGAAAGACCATTGAGAATATATTGTGACAATAAATCGGCTGTGCTGTATTCCAACAACAATAGAAGCTCTACGAAGTCGAAGCACATCGACATCAAGTTTCTTGTTGTTAAAAAGAGAGTTCAAAGTAGACAAGTGTCTATAGAGCATATTGGAACACACTCTATGGTTGCGGATCCGCTCACTAAATGTTTACCACCAAAAGTGTACACTGCTCATATTGGGTGTAGTATTATTTGATAATGTGCTGGTTTAGTGGGAGTATGTTATTTTGGACATCAAAAAATATAATTATATTGGGCTACATGGTTAAAATATAATTATATTGGGCTATCAAAAAATATAATTTTGATGTGTTTCACTCTGTTGGATTTAATTTCTTATGTGGGCTACACGGTTAAAATATAATTATACTAGGCTATCTAAATTCATGGGCCGATCAAGTGATCTAATTGTTGGGCCCTAGAAACATCTAAAACGTATGGGCTTTGCAATGTGTAGAGAACGGACTAGTCCAATTAGGGTTGATGGAAACCTAATCGACTAGTATTTAAGGACATGTTATGTGGTTATGATCCCTAAGCCAAATCATGATATTGGTTCAGGATTCTCTACTGTATCCATCTCAGAGAGAAATCAATTGAACGCTAAGGACATTTGGATGCGGAAGATCAAACCCTATTTCAAACAACGCCAATGGATTCAGGTAATTTTTAGTTTACTTGTTTTGATGATTTAACATGATTGATCTTGGGAATTAAAGAATTAAGGATTTTGGACTTGCACACTCTTCTCTATCAAATCTTAGTCCAAAAGAAAAGGTTAGACAGCATTTGAGCCTTTTCAACATTTACACATGGTACACACTTGGGCAAAATCCTTTTTAACAAGAAAATTGAAATTTTGAAAAACAAGAAGAAATCAGATGTGTAAAGATAATCGACTTCAACATCTTTTTCCTAACAAATAAATTATATGTATTTGGGATTATTTCTCTTTTATCTTATCATAATTACTCTTTATTAATACCCCTACAATAACCTTTTCATTTCTTCTTGTTTGATTGAGGAATTGTCTTCTAATTTAAAGTGGAATATCAAAAGTCTTTAATAAAATTTCTTTCTCACCGTGTAATTCTCAAATACCATCACATTGCGTACATAAGAAAAGATCTGACATTTCCTTGACAACATAATTGTTTACGAAATCTCTTTCTTCCAATTGTCTATTTCATAAAAATCCCACTAATTTTTATTAGGTTAATTTCACAAACGGTCACTGAAATTCAAAACTTGCAGAAACGGTCACTGAACTTTCATGCATTTTCACAAACGGTCACTGGAGGACTGTTACGCCTTTAATTCAAACATAAATGACCAAAGTGAGCTAACCCGAATTTTGGACAGTTTTGAGGTGCCAACTTTGGACCATCATAACTCCGTCCTCCGGCCACCTTTTGCCACGAACCAATATACCAAATTGAAGCCCTCAATGTCCTCTTAACAACCCACCCAACCACTGGCCGTGATCCCGTCGGAATTGGCCGAAAAATCTAGCCAGAGTGAGCTACCCTGGATTTTGGACAGCTTTGAGGTGCCAACTTTGAACCACCATAACTCCGTCCTCCGACCACCTTTTTCACGGACCAATATACCATATTGAAGCGCTCAATACCCTCTTCAAAACCGATCCAGCCACTGGCTGTGATCCCGTCGGAATTGTTCGAAAAATCGCCCCAAAGTGGGCCACCCAAGCACAGCTTACTGTCCAAAAATCCGGATGTGAGTGGGTAGCTCACTTTGGATCCTTTTTTCGGCCAATTCCGACGGGATCACGGCCAGTGATCGTTTGTGAAATTAACTCATTTCTTATTTATTGACTAAATCAAACTTACATGGACAGCCAATTCTAATTGGTTTTATCATTTATGCATACATTTGCTTTTTAATTATTATCACGTGTTCCAAGTCAAAGGAAGACAAATTGCAAATGGTTATCATAATAAACAGTCAAGAATTAATGTTTCCATCTTTGAAATAATAATAATAAAATACTTACTTTTCTACTAATTTTTAGCTAACAAAACTTTGTCGACTAATTCTAATGCAAATGAGTTTTAAATATATGTTTTGGCTACGAAATCGATTGTTAAGTGAAACCTAACATATTATTTCATTATATCTTTTAATAGATGAAATGGATTGAGACAAAAAATAATTTGTGTAATGAACCTGAAATATTATAATCGTGTTTAATTTTTTTGGTACTTCAAAATAAACAAAGAAAAGGATTGCCGACAGTGAAAGGCATCTGTGGAAAATGAGGTTTGTCCTAGTTGTTGAGGGACCACATGGACTCCATAATGATCCATTGATGTTGAAAATTAAAGGCTTATATCCTATACCTATCAAACTCATTTAACTAAGAATTTTTCATGATTTCATTTTGTTTTCAAATCAAAGACTTATATATGTTCAAAGTGCAGAAAACAATGGATGAATCCATGGTAAAATATTCATAAGTCAATTGGAATGATATCTACTAATTGACCAAAATTTTGCGTCTCTCGTACGAAATAAAAATTGAATTGTATATCTTTCAAAAAATTTAACCCACAAGCTTCTTCAAAGTAAATTTATATTTATTTTGTAAATCAAGTAGATTTTGAGAGTCAAAGAAGTAAATTTGAAAATCACAAATTAAGTAATTTAAAAGTTGTTTTAAGCGAAGTTAATTACACATGCTAAAGAGTTAACTTTTCAAACTTATTATGAGACTCAAAACATTCAGGGTCCATTTGATATGACTTCTACTTCTGCTTCTTTTTGTGCCAACTTCCTCTGAAAAACTCTTCTAGTCAGACAAAATGCTCTAAGAAATTATCACATACATTCAAAAGTAACTTTTTAGTTTCACAAACAACAATTTTTTGCTTTTCAAAAATCCTGCCAAACGAGTCCTTATTAATACTTTTACAAACCGTTTGTGAAAGTCCACTATTTATTTACCTAGCCAGACGTCATAACTCGTCCTCAATTTCAATAACTACATTAATTAGTTGTTAAAAGGGCTAAAGTTAATTTATGAACCATGAAGCTTTTGAAATTGGAGTAGACTGGCCAGAATTATCCACAAATTTGAATACTGTTCATATGTTTTCAATTGGTCAAACACGAGTAGCTAACGTGTCGAATACATGTTATATAAGCATACGTTATCGGTTTCTAACTTTAAGTTACCATGGCTAAAATATTTCTCTTATTTTCTGTTATATCTCTTCTCCAGTTTAACTTGTCTATAGGACAAAATGTTCAAGGAGGCTATTGGTTCCCTGAAAGTGGATTTGAAGCCTCAGATATAAATTCCGATCTTTTCACACATTTATTTTGTGCATTTGCAAATCTTGATCCCCAAACCTATCAACTCACAATTTCCTCCACAAACAATGCCTCTTTTGCCCAATTCACAAATACTGTCCAACTTAAGAACCCTTCTGTCAAAACCCTTTTGTCCATTGGTGGTGGAAATGCAGACGATACTGTTTTTGCTTCAATGGCTGCTCAATCCCCTTCTCGAAATTCATTCATTGATTCTTCAATAAAATTAGCAAGATCTTATGGGTTTTCTGGTCTGGACTTGGATTGGGAATACCCACAAACACCTTCGGAGATGGCTAATTTAGGTCTGTTATTAAATGAGTGGCGCACGGCGGTGGCATCGGAGGCCACAGCCTCCGGCGAGGAGGCGCTGATTTTGACAGCAGCGGTTTCATTTGCACCAACTGTGAATGATTTGGAATACCCAGTTCAGTCCATAAACATCAACCTGGATTGGATCAATTTAATGGCGTATGACTTTTATGATCCCTCTTGGTACAATTTTACCAATTCACACGCTGCACTCTACGATCCATCAGGCCAAGTCAGTGGCAGCTATGGTGTCGGGGCTTGGACTCAGGCTGGCGTAAGAGCGGCAAAACTGGTTCTCGGCATGCCATTTTATGGTTACGCTTGGCGTTTGGTGAATGCCAACAACCACGGCCTATTGGCCCCAGCAAATGGCCCTGCAAGTGCTGATAATGGGGCCGTGGGTTACAGACAAATCAATAACTTCATTGCACAAAACAATGCCGTAATCGTTTACAATTCAACTATTGTCACCAATTACTGCTATGCTGGAACTACATGGATAGGATATGATGATACTCAAACCATTGCCACCAAGGTTTCGTATGCTAAGCAAAATGGGTTGCTCGGTTACTTTGCATGGCATGTTGGAGTTGATGACAATTGGGCTCTCTCTCAACAAGGTCAGTATCTCGATCTTTTAATGAACATGTTTCTCTTTTGGTAAATGGTAAGTGGAGTTAGACAATACTAGACAACAACGACAAAGAAACTAGAGAATCTAAAATCTCCACAATTGAACTTGACGAGTACTTCAACTAATCTAGTGTACCTAACTTGCCGTCATGAAATTAACTGCAAGAAGCTTATATTTGAAGTACACTTATCGAGCACATTGTTAGTCGTTCTGATGTTCTGATCTTTGATTTGTGACTACAGCTAATCAATCATGGGGAGCACAATATACCGTAATAAGAGATTCATGGAATTGTGAAGACATATAGTTGTTATGGATACGTCGAAAGTTGATGTAATTGGTGTTATAGAATAAGCCTAAAAGGCAGTTAGTTATATTGCATAACATTACTAATATGCCCGATCAATTTCCTGTTCTTGTTTGAAATGAAGCGACTTGACTGAGTAATCACTCTTTATAACAACTAGCCAAGGTTGAGCCACGCAAGATGTGTCTAAGTGACTCAATTGCCAGCCCAATCGGCAATTTTTAATGGACTAGACCATTAAGAAAAGGTTGATGTCAACTGTCAAGTGACTCTTCACATATTCTTCGAGTATTACAGTAAAACAATTCTGGACAAGAAATTTAAATGCATAATTCAGGAAAAAATACATATTCTGCTTGACAGGAAGAAGCGAGCATTTGAAATAAATTTTCACATCACCCCAATTAGTCTATTATTCAATATTTGCACATTCCTCACCCTTTTTCTTTCAATAAGCACAACAGTTCGGTATTCGGAAAACAAATAATCATCCCTTCAGCGGATGAAAACAACTTATAAATTTGATATCACATTATGGGAAAGAAAATAAGCATCTCACATGGAAAGACAGAGTATGTGATAGTTTTTAATTGTCCATAGGATGAAGAAAATAAATAATTTTTAATTATATTCTGCATCCCTTATATTCTCAGCATAGCGGCCTACACATGGATTGTCCACAGTTGACACATCAGCCTAAAACCGTAAACAAGGAAATCTTAATTAATTCATAAGAACATCAGAAATTAAAAGCAACTCAGTAAAAATAATTGTGCATAGAAGAAGTGGTTAAATTAAATTGATATTCCAGTTATCGACGAAAACTCAAAAATGTAAACGTAACCACGATGTCGTCAAAAGTCACATTGCCAATATGGTTGAGACACTCAATGCAGAGTTCAAGTTGAAAGATACGAAAATCAAACATCAATCCTAGCAAATAATCTATACAGTGACTAGACAATAATGTTTATGACTAATTATGTGTCAACCAAGCTTCAACTTGTTTCCATCGAAAACAACAATTAGAATACTCCATTGAAAAACAGAGAGGCTGGCTTAAATAGAACAAGTGACACTACCAGCAACCTTCCTGCTAAAAATCCCAATTGCAATATCATGTCACCACAAGTACGACGAAGCAGATCAAGGAATTCATTGTGCTATATATATAGATGATTTTGTGGATTAAGTAGTATTTCTGTCACATTATGAATGTTTAAGGTCCTAAATAGATGAAAGGTATTGATGGAGTCTTCCCTATGATCTTACACCCTCCTACGTCAAGCTTACAGGTTTCAATATTGAACAGACTTGGCATCGGATTTGTTTTCACATTAACTTCAATAAATCTCGTCATTTACGCGTGCTGAAGACGTGAGGTCATGATATGCTGATTTTAAGTTTCCATCTTAAGATGATCCACAAGAAGGGATGGGATTGGGTGAAACTAGTCACAAAGAGGGATGAGAAAGGGAAGACATGTTGTCCGTAAGAAACACCATGATACGTCACATAATGACATAAATAAGATTCTGCAAGAAGAACAGACAAAAAAACAAGAATGAACTTGAAATCTTATATTTGTCTTGTTTGATAGCCTGTGCGCCCTCTCTCTTCTCCGCGTGAATTCGTGATTATCTGTAAGTATTTATTGTATTTTGCTTACAATCTGTGAATTCATGTATTTTGTTTATACCGTAAGTCTGTGATGGAATTCATGAATTGAATTTGGTTGATTTATTTTCCAGATCTTCTTGCACTAGCCTACGATTGCCTTGGGAGAATGAACCATTGAACCGCCTCGCTGTCTGTTATAATTACCTCACCTGTCAGGTTCAATTCAATTCAAAATTTTATGTGACATTGTAGTTCGGAAGTGCAGAAGTGGTTGTGGTAAAAACTGTTTTCTCTACTTTTTGATGATATGATGTGCTTATGTGGATGAAGAAATTGCAAGTGTTTTAAGAATTTCAGAAAATTCTAAAATAATGTTGCGATTCATTCACAGTAAATCCTCTATTGAGCATTTTTATGGAAGTGAGGACTGAGGATTGAGTAACGTGCTGCCTGCAGCACATAGATCCTCTTATTTGAAATAACCCTTTGTGTGAAACCCCAATACTTGAACTAATTTGTTGATTTTACCAAATATTAGAATGGAATGTCTACTAGCTATCGAATGTCTAGAATTGTGAATTGTGATACATATGTCAGTTCTGTTATTTCAAGTGAGTGAATGTTGCTATTTCTATCAAAATTTGCACTAGATAGAGTATATTGCATTATCAAAGAACCAAATAGCAACTTTGAAATCTGTTAGGTTTGCATCTAATCATCTTGTTCTTTTCTTCACCTGGTAAGTAATTAATGTTAGTGTTGGAGAACCTAAACTTTTGAATCTAGCACTCACCTAATGGTGGAGGTGGTGGAAAATTAACATCAACCATTGGAGATGCTTGGTCACAGGAGAAATCTACTTGACATGAACCAACAATAAGTTCATCTTTTCTATCTTTCAAGGCACTAAAACCATTTTCTGCAGTAGTCTCTACTCACTAGATACAACATTAATCAGTGATACTGGACCTTGTCCCTGCATTAAGACTTACGCTATGTTGTAGGGAAATTGCAAGCAACTTTTTTCCTTTATATTATAGAAATTATTGGTTTTTGGTTCATTCTGAGATGTTTGAAGGGTGGTGCAGCAGATTTTTTCTTTTTTGCATGCCCGTGTTTTTGATTCATTTCGGAGTTTTATTAGCTTCTAAAGAGCATCTTATATTATTGTTTCCTTCAATTAAAATCTGGAGTTCACTTTTGAATGATTGTATTGGTGATTTATAATTAGGTGCCAATTACATGCCAAAGTAGGCGTGTTAAAAACCGACATAATGTGTCTCAAGCCATAAATATTGCTTGATCACCAAAGCATTCATTGAAGGACACTTTCTTAAATCGAAGTAGAATTACTTCGATTTCGTAACTGATAACATTATAATAAGTAGTCTTTCTTTATATCTAGGACTAGTCAGCATTCATTTGCTTAATATTTAACTGATTTATTTTTCTTTATATCTGAGACTAGTAATTCTATTTATGTTTTGAGTTGGCTCCCTTTTTTTTTTTTGGTTTTTTAAACTTTGCTTTTTTCACCTTTCAATAACTGTTAGCTCATAGTTGTTGATTGATTTGACTCCAATACATGGCTCCTAAATAGGCATCTGGAGCTCGAAAAAAGATGAGAGAAAAGTAGAAGTATTAATTCGAAGTCAGACAGGAAATATGATAAATATTTTAATACCAAGAAAAGAAAAAAGAATGAAGAAACACAAGAAAATTTAGTGATTGAGGAACAACAGAATCAGAATGATAATGACAATGTGGATTGACAGAGACAGAACGAGGAAATGATTGAACATATCAATGTGGATGAATCAAAGCAGAATGATGAAAATAATATTCAACGTGAAGATTTAAATCAAGAGAATTGCTTTTCGTTGAATTTTGAAGATCCTAGAAATTGGAAGGACATTTACATTGATCAAAAGACGAGACTTTTTAGTTGAAATGGGTTCAAAAAGAGTTGATGATATCTTGTTTCCTAAAGATAATCAAGGTAGACATTTTGTATCATCACAATATAAACGAGTATTTGCAAATGGGCAGACAACTGATAGAAGATGGTTAGTGTATTCGATTTCTTTAGATAAGTTCTTTTGTTTTTGCTGTAAGTTGTTTAAGACAGAAAAAATGATGAAAAATATTGGTCAATTGGGTAATGACGGATACAAAGATTAGCATAATGTGCATCGACGCCTTACAAATCATGAAGTGGCTAAGGAGCATATAAGCTGCATGACTAGTTGGATGGAACAGAAAATAGGCTTCAAACAAAGCATGTAATTGATGAAAGCGTACAATTGGCCATCAACAAAGAAAGAGAGCATTGAAAACAAGTGTTAACGAGGATAATTGCTATTGAGAAAAGATTCACTAAAAATACTTTGGCATTTCGAGGAGATTGTGGAAAACGTTATGTTGAGAACAATGTACTTTTTTTGCAAATGATAGAAATGGTTGTTGAGTTTGATCAAATTATGAAAAAACACATTCGACGTGCTCAAGCACGTGAGATTCAGTATACGTATCTTGGTCCTAAAATTCAAAATGAATTGATACAAACTTTGATAGGTGAGGTCAAAAGTGCAATTATCACAAAAGTGAAACATGCAAAATATTTTTCTGTCATACTTGATTGTACTCCAGATGCGAGTAATGAGGAGCAAATGTCTCTAGTAATACGATGCGTGGACGATTCAACAAACTCGTCGATGGTACAAGAATATTGGATTGAATTTTTGAAGGCGGATGATACATCAGGACTTGGACTTTTCACTGAGCTTAAAAATGTGTTAACGAATTTTGAGCTTGATATTGATAATATAAGAGGTCAAGGGTATGACAATGGAGCTAACATGAGCGGGAAACATAGAGGTGTACAAAAAAGATTACTTGAAATAAATCCTAGAGCTTTCTATACTCCATGTGGTTGTCATAGCATTAATCTAGCAATATGTGATATGGCAAATTGTTGTTCTAAATCTATGTCCTTTTTTGGAGTGATACAGCGCATTTACACGGTGTTCTCTTCTTTTCCCAAACGATGGAAAATTTTTAAACTGACGGTTAAGCTTTTGTCACAAACACGTTGGGAAAGTCATGTGGAAAGTGTTAAGCTAATAAAGGAGCAATGCGTACGAATAAGAGACGCTTTACTTGACTTGGCAAACATTGTTGAAGATGCTAAAACGAAGAGTGAAGCTGAATCTTTAGCCACATATGAACTTGAGAATTTTGAGTTCTTGCTTGGCATGGTCATTTGGTATAAGTTGTTGAATGCTATCAATACCGTAAGTAATTTTTTTCAAGCCGAAAACATGGATATTGATGAAGCCATCAAGCTTTTAGAAGCGCTTATTTTGTTTCTCGAAAATTAT